ACTGTGTATATATATATATACATATATAGGGACTAGTATCACAGCGGAGACAAACTCATTGTCATCAAACAACATAAAGTTCTGCTCCACCAAGCTTTATTGAGCTCATCCTTTGAGCTGGGTCCGTTTCCTCTTTGGGAACAATTACAGTCCATCTGCAGATTCCTGTCCTGCTGACAGGCTTCAATCCAAAAGTAAACACTCGCTGCTTTCAGCATACTGTCTCTTTTCCTCTGAGACAGGGCCGGATTAAGAGCACCACAGGATAGAGGGCTACGAATCCCAGTAATACATTACAGAGCAATGCAACCAGCAACAGAGGACTACAAGTCCCAGCAATACATTGTAAAGTACTGCAGAATAATACCATCAGCTATAGAGGACTACAAATCCCAGCAATACTTTGTAAAGCACTGCAGAATAATACTATAAGCTATATCCCATCAATACTTTATACAGCCGTGCAGACATTGTGTGGCTCCGGGTTTGTGGCCTTATGTCTCCAGGGTCTCAGGAGAGCTGTGCGGGGTTTAGGGGGGGCTTTGCAGGCACTCAGGAGGCTGTTCAGGTTCTTAGGTGGCCAGTGCGGCTCTATGAGGGCCAGTGCGGGCTCTAAGGTGGTCAGTGCAGGCTCCCAAGTGGTCAGTGCGAGCTTCCAGGTGGTCATTGCAGGCTTTCAGGTGGTCAGTGCAGGCTCCAGGTGGTCAGTGAGAGGTCCAGGTGGTCAGTGAGGGCTCCAGGTGGTCAGTGCAGGCTCCAGGTGATCAGTGCTGGCTCTCAGGTAGTCAGTGCGGGCTCTCAGGTGATCAGTCTGGTCTCCCAGGCGGTCAGTGTGGGATCCAGGTGGTCAGTGAGGGATTCAGGGGATCAGTGCGGGCTCCAGGGGGGTCAGTGCGGGCTCCAGGGGGGTCAGTGCAGGCTCCAGGGGGGTCAGTGCGGGCTCATGGGGGGTCAGGGTGGGCTCCAGGGGGGTCAGTACGGGCTCCAGGGGGGTCAGAGAGACTGGTGAATGCAGCCGAAGCAGATGCGGCTCTCTGCTCAGGCACATCAGGGGGCCCTCCAAAATGCCTCAATAGAGGGCCATGGCTGCCTGGTCTCGGCCGGCCCAGATTACCATCACGACTAAGGTCTGGTTGGAAAGTCTCGGCCGTGGTTCGGGTCACCTTAGTCTGGCAGCGGTTCGGGTCAGCTGGGTCAGGTCACGGTCCGAGTCAGCTCGGCCCAGCCACGGTTTGGGTCAGCTCGGCCTGCCTGTGACTCTGTGTTGGCTCAGCTTGGCCAGGCCTGTTTTCATTAGCAGGCCTGGAGCGGGAGCTCCACCCGCCGTATGTTAATCTAGCCCTGCTTGTGCCTGGCTCTCTCAGCCTTTCCAAATTCTACAGCCTTCTTGGCTGTTGCTTGTGTGGCTGATGAGGACTTGTGCAGTCAGTACCAAATTACAGTCCACGGAATCTGGAGTCTGTCTCACCCAGAGCTCTATCAGACTCCTAGTAAAACCAGCCCCCAGAATGGGATTTACCAACACAGGGTAACAAACTATCTTTCTTTACCTCCAGACCTCTGCTAGCATTACCATAAATCCTATATCTAAGAATCCGTGAAGAAACATATCTTCCATCCATCACTTTTAATGCCGTCCTGGCAGGTTTTACAAGCAGTCTGTTACAATATACAGTATATATTTATATACACGTGTGTGTTTGTTTGCACTTTTGTGTGCACACCCCTAATGCAATAGGCTGGGCACGCCTATGCTCTTGTCTTGCACATGCTGCCCATCAAGACATTCCTTTATCATTGTCTGTAATATCCCCAACCTTGCCCATTCTAGAACAGGCACACTTTTGTCCGGTATAACACTGTATCTTACTGCCCAATGACTGTGCCCTTGTTGTCCACTCAAAGGGATGATAGTAGATGTCCAAGGTTTAAAAGAGAACTCCAGTTAAAAAAAAACACCCCCAGCCTGTGCCCTCGAAATTCAAGGAGTAGCTCATCTATCTGTTACTCCACTTTCTTCTCCTATTAGCATGCTCTTTATCAGAGCATTAACCGATCGGCCCCTTGTGCTGCTTCTTCCTTTTTCTTTCTGAGTTCTGCTTTGCAGGATCTGCAACAAGCTCTTACCAATATAAATTAATGTGTTTACACTGCTGGAATAAAAAAAAATGCATTTAATGTAGTAATAATGAATACAGAACTTCAATAATTTTTGTCTTTACATCTGTCTGAAATTCAGCTTTGAAGTCAGAGAAGTCGGTTTTTATTTCTGTCTATTTCATGTGCTGGGGAGATTTGCAGATTTGTAAAACCTGACAGGAGTTTTAATTAGGGATGTCCCGATGCCACTTTTTAAAGACCAAGTACAAGTACTTTCCCGCATGTACTTGCCGATACCAATTACCGATACTACTGGTCCTCCTCTGTTAGTAGGCATCAGGATCCCCCAGCTTTGGACACTGGGGCGGTCACTCCGGTAGTTCTGCCCGTGGGGCTGTCCATGGCTGTGCCTGCACCGGGAAGGAGGAGGAGATAAAGAACCAGGCAGGCACTGCCATGGACAGCTACTTGCAGGTCACCAGCAAGCTGCTGAGGTCCCCACAAGCGCATATTCTCAGCAGCGGCTGCGATTTAAAAATGTACCGGTATCTGCCTTAAGAATCAGGGCATTTTCACAAGTACAAGTACTTGTAAAAATGCCTGCTATCGGCCCCGATACCGATACTAGTATCGGTATCTGGACATCCCTAGTTTTAATCAATCTGTACTCTATTAAAAATGGAAAAATAATCTTTGCCTTAGTATATTGAATAACGTGGAGCTTTGCTCACTTCCATCCCCCAAACATGTGCAAGCAAAAATTATTATTTTTTAAAATTATTTTGCTTACACGTTTGGATATTCTTTGCGAAGTGAAATTTCACCACATTTACCAAACTAAAGGGAAAAATCCCTTGCAAAGTGAACAGCCTTTTTGTGTTTAGTAAATCAACCCCATAGATTGTTGCAAACGTGTAGTCAAAGAGTCACAATGCACCAGTGAATAGAGATACACAAGTTGATCCGTGTGAGTTTAGAATTTCCCAAAAACCGGGCTTCTTGGCCAAAGTCAATCTAGCATGCATGTGTTCATTTGTTGTGGCCTTGGTGGGACTGCCATAATCAACTACTACCATAATGTCTAGCACACCCTCTGGCCCAGGAAACAATTTGTGTGTCTTCTGTAGCAGCTAGTCTGAGGTGAAAGGCAACGGAGCTTCCAATGTATATACACCCAGCAGAATGGGGTAGGCTGCCATTTCATGTGTTGTGTGAAGCAGGAGAAGGTGGTAGAGAGCAGAAAGTGGAGAAGGTGGTATAGTTCTAGGTAGCATGGCTCTTGGTAGGAGGGTAGGATCATATAGTGTGTTTGTTACTGGGCAAAGAAGACACTCTATGGCTACTCTGAGCCAGATAGAACGTCAAGTATTTGAGAAAATTATTGCAGAAGCATATAGAGAAGCATACAACATACATTATCTTCATCTATCACTATTGTTTGATAAAACTGTTCTAGGACTGTGTCAGCAGTCTGTCTTCTGTTATTTCATTTACTTATTTTAATCTGCATTGTAGAAAAGATGACAGTCTATTGCAATTGTTAATCTGTGATGGGTCATAACAATATCATACCTGCTCTTCTGAGCCTTTAGGGAAGACATGCCTACATTAACATGAACAGGGTCCTAGCATGTGTGTACAATCAGTGCAATGAAAGAATTCATACCATTTTATTTTCTTTTTTATTGCCCCAGTTATAGTTCAACAAGCTGCATCGTCCATAGTGAAGTACAATACATCTATATATAGCAGATACTGAACCATAGTCAAGCATGGAAAATATCAAGCTTTTAAAGCAAACAAGTGATTAAGTATATTTCTTAGCTTTTGAGGGCTATTTGCTTATGTATTCTTAGGAACCTAGGTTGATCTGGATTAAAAACCTTTGCTATTGTGTATGTTTAAACTCTGCCTATCTCTTACTCCAGCTGGAAGATTAAAGCAAATCTAAACCCAAGAACAAAATTTTATATATTGCAGCTTACCATTCTTTAGATGTGGTGGCTGCAGTAGAAGAGGTTAAATTAAGACTTTACTCCTACCTGCTTTTCCTACTAGACTCAATTATTGAAGCCTGTTGGCCAAAATCATTTTGCCTTCTCTTTGTCTACTGAAGATTCACAACCTATTTATCTTTATGCAGCTTGAAACATTCTCACTTCAAATAATAGTAACTTTTGTAGTCACAAAATGTGTCAAAATTCTCTTGGTGCTGAGGTAGGGGTTGCATTATTACATTTGTTTCAAAATAAGGGTCTAGCTGTTGCGTGAGTGGAGCACAGCTTCTAGGGAAAGCTAGAGGTTTTGCGTCAGATAACGAAAGTGTTGTTATAATATGTACACTGCAAATTTAAACCAACTTAAACCAGTAAGTAATAAAATACCCTGTCACCAACTTAAAATTTGCAGGTGAATGCACAGAAAAATCAAGTATTTTAAATGCTTGCTTGCAGTGTTTGTCGTTTCCATAAATTATTGTATTCAATTGCAATGTGCCTTTGAAATTGCTAGAATATATGACTACTTACAGTCTATCCTCTATCACAGCTCCCTCAGTCCTTGCACGTCATAGCTCTCTCCTCTTCTGGGAGTGTCTAATTACTCTGTGCTGGCCCACTTTATCTGCCCCTCCCCTCATCTTTCTACATAACCTATGTAGCAACCAGAGGAGGACCAAAGGAGAATACTTTAGAATTTCCCTTGAGTGACAGTTCTGAGTCTGTGGGGCTGCTCACATCATATCTAAGATAGTGGTGCCCAGCAGCAGTCCAAACCTTTTGTATGTTTACACAAGGGAGTCCTTTACATGTAAATAGCATGAATATAATATGTTGCACACATATTATCTTATTAGATTATTAGATGACTGGTCTGGTGACCGGGTCTCTTTAAGAGGAAAGAAAGTGCAAACACATCTCTCACATTGATATCATCTTTAGAGAACCTTAAATGCACCTTTGTCATAGTTAAACATATTTTGAGATCCCATCCAGTAATTCAACCTCTGCAATCTGTACATGACCGTGATTATTGTGTTTGCATATGATATGTACACAGGTAACTTAATACCTGTGTAGAGACTACATCCTATGCAGCCACCCATTCTGCCACCAGCAGAATGACCATCATAGGGTACTGTAGCAGTTCTGTTAACTAAGTCCAGGAGGCAAATTCAACTACACACAGATAAAGTCAATTGGGCCACTGGCTCTGCCCATGATCTGCTCCTCTTTGACATGTTTCACCCTTACAGGCTTAATCGCAGAGATAGGGATGAACTAAGAAGGAGGACTTTTATACTGTTCAAATAGCCAATATAGAACAGTTCTTTAAAGCAGGCATTAGTGAGCTAACAGGACATGCATTATATACAAAATATGCAAAATGTATTTTGGTTTCGATGATGAATAAACAATAATGCTCAAAATTGTAAACATCCTCTAGGAGGTTCAATGTCAATATCTGCATAGAAGCGTAGAAGTATAGAGTATAAGTTTACATAGAAGTTCCCATGTCCCCACTGATGTGTGAGATGTTTTTCTACTGGGAAACTAAAATTTTGTACAATTTATAATACATCCTGGATCAGTGGGGAACGTGAGTTTATTATAAAGAGGTGTTTTCTTTTTGTCTGAGTGAGTTTCCCCTATATGATTAATAGAAGTGTAGTCCCCTACATATCCTCCATATCTACAGAGCAATACATAATAATACACACAATGCATAATCTGTATCCCCCCAACCCCTAAAACCAATAATTTAATGTTACACAATTTAAATAAATTCCAAAGAAACCCAAGAATGTAATAATAAACAGAGAAAAGTGTATATACATAGAAATTAAATCAATTAATCGCAAACTGCATAATGTTAAGACCTTAGATCCTGTGAGTGAGGGTGCACAAAATGCATCCTTCTGCCACTGTGCAATAACACAAGGCCACTTTAACTGCCTATTTTCATCATCTTCATTCTTTCCTAATAAAAGAAAGGCTGCAGAATGTGCTGCAGCCTTAGCCAGCATGGCCTCATAAAAAAATTCTTAAAACTCCATGTCATTGTTCTAGTTTGCCAATTTGTGAGGCAACGTTTAGCCAAGAGTCCAAAACAATTTTAATGGAAACATATTTTTAAAATGCCACAGTGTACTGCAAAGAACATACACAAACACAATATTTTTATGCAAGTTTATTTAAATGATCCATTTTGACACATACACAGTTTGAATTTCTTAAATTTTTGATACACAATAATGTTATGGTATGACATGTGTAACGTAGGGTGTGTGTATAATATTCAGTGACTGATTTAAATGCCTTCCAAACAGTATTTTTTTTCAAAAAACTAACTTTTGATAAATCTCCTTGGTTAGTATCTAACGTCACTGGATGTTTTTGTTCTCTTTGCCAGGATGGGAGTGACTGTGTATTGGTATTTTCTACCATGAACGTCACTGAAAAGTGAGTTAAACATTTGGCTTTCATTTATACTTTGCTTTTCTGGTGAAGATCTATGCTGACTGTGCAAAACCCATCCTATTGTTGCCCATATCATAGACTGAATAGTATTGCCGAAGGAAGACATCACCCAAAATCCAGAAAGGTTGACCATTTTGAGATGGCAGGTAAGTCACTTCTACTCCCACTGTACAGTATCCATTATTCTGCAAATAAATACAAAACAGATAAGTGAACAGGATGGACACATAAATTAAATCCAGACAGGAAATGTTAATATTATAACATTAAGAACCATAGAATACATACATATTTTCAATAGGGAAATAGGTAAGCACTAAGAGAAATAGAAAGAAATAGTATATATATCTAGATATCTAGATATCTAGATATATATATTGAGACTGAGGCCTCATCACAGAAGCATGCCAGGGACTTTCCCACTGACATATTAGTCTGTTAATACCAAATTATCTGTTGGCAGAAGCACCATGTCCTGGATGAGATCAGGATGTGATATGCTGCATTTGTTGCAAATTGGTTGATTGCTTGTTTAAATTTGATGCACTTTTATTACTAAATTGTAATATGCTGGTCAACAAGTAGTACCTGCAGGATATAAGCAGATGGTGACAATGGGAACTGAACTCCATTGATGGTAAAGCTGATGGTAGGAAGGCTCTGTACATTGTTACAGTTCACTACATACTGCAAAGAAAAACAAGAAGCTATAAGTTTGAATTAACCGGTAAAGAATCAAGTTGCATACAGGGTAAAAAGTTTTCAATAAGAAGCACAAATTGCTAGTCTATAATAAATGGGTTATGTGTATCCCTGATTAAAGTAGCCTATGCACTCATAGGCTTCCTGATAAGTAATGCACTAGGTGTGACCACTTCTTGTGATAATCTGGCTGTGTATAGTTACCATTAGAGCAATAATAGGCATTTTCAAGCATCAAAATTGCTCATCATCGCAATACCTTGGATAAACTCTGCATGACCCAATGGTTCACTATGAGCTGCACATATTGTATTATTGGTCAAGCAGAGGAGCATATCACAGAGAGTGTGAAAATCTAACTTTGTCCTTGCTCTCTATGGTGTTTCCACTTCAGCACCAAGGTGAAAACTATCAGTTTTGCTAATTTGGCTGCACATGCAGTTTGCTTAAAGAAAGTGATTTTTTTTTTCCAGATTGGTTGTTGTTTTATTTCTTGGGTGTATTTAGGGTAGGTCCTTTTATTTTATTTAATGTTTGTATTCGAGTTTTTTATTTAACAGGTAAAATTTGTATTGAGTTTTATTACTTGTTTTATATTATTCGTTTACTGTTGTATTATATTATTTATTTTTTACATTGAGCCCCCAAGAACACTGTAATTTAACATTCCCATTTTATTTATATAGTGAAAATATAGCTGAAATCTTTTTTTCTACCAAAATTTGGGTGACATTAAAACTTAGTTATGCTCACCCCGATTTGTTTAATAACTACATATAGCTGTGATGTGAAACTGATATCAGATTTCATCCATTAAACATAGTCAGAACAAAAAAACAAAACAAAAAAGATAGGTATGCTGTGGGTTTTTAGTTTTAATAAAGCCCAGTTCCAGCCAAAACTTTTTTGGTTTGTTTTGGACAGAGTTAGGAAGAGTTAGAACCATTATCAGATTTTTAATGCTGTTTGTGTTCCTATTGGGGAGATTTGCACTTACTTTCTGTCCCATTGACACAAGTGATGTGATCGCTTTTCTGCTCTTGGTATCCTATTTTCCCAGTGACATCTGCACCTTCTCATTTCAGGTGTCACCAGGACAGTAATTGAGCAGAGATATACCCAATAAGGACACAGACTAAAATAAAAACCTGACAGAAGTTTTGACTCTTACCCACTCTATTGAAAACTAAAAAGACTAGTTTTGTCAGCTTTAGGGCTGCGTGAAAGAAGTATATTTATTAAGTTTTCTTTAGAATACTGTATATACTCGAGTATAAGCCGTCCCGAATATAAGCCGAGGTACCTAATTTTAGCAAAAAAAACTGGGAAAAAGTATTGACCCGAATATAAGCCGAGGGTGGGAAATGAGGCAGCTACTGGTAGATAGATACCAATAAAATTACATTAATATTTATTTAAAAGAAAAATAACCTAGCTCTGTAAGTGGAAAAGGGGGTACAGGGCTACATATCATGTACTACGGATCATTTAACCCATTCATATTAGCAGAGGATAATTGTAAATCTATTGTTCAGTGCACTCTATATGTAGTATATAGTACATGTACATATAGAGTGCCTGCAACAATACATTTACAATGATCCTCTGCTAACATGAATGGGTTAAATGATCCATAGTACAGGGCTACATACAGATCATTTAATACATTCATGTTAGTATAATTGTAAATGTATTGTCTGCACTGTATTAGCAGTATATACTCTATATAGAGTATATACTGCTAATACAGTGCAGACAATACATTTACAATTATACTAACATGAATGTATTAAATGATCTGTATGTAGCCCTGTACTATGGATCATTTAACCCATTCATGTTAGCAGAGGATCATTGTAAATGTATTGTTGCAGGCACTCTATATGTACATGTACTATATACTACATATAGAGTGCACTGAACAATAGATTTACAATTATCCTCTGCTAATATGAATGGGTTAAATGATCCGTAGTACATGATATGTAGCCCTGTACCCCCTTTTCCACTTACAGAGCTAGGTTATTTTTCTTTTAAATAAATATTAATGTAATTTTATTGGTATCTATCTACCAGTAGCTGCCTCATTTCCCACCCTCGGCTTATATTCGGGTCAATACTTTTTCCCAGTTTTTTTTGCTAAAATTAGGTACCTCGGCTTATATTCGGGACGGCTTATACTCGAGTATATACGGTATATAACTACAAATTAGTATTTCCAAAAGAAGAAGGGTTTTAATGATTGCAATTTGTACATGCCAGGCCTTTAAATAAATGCCCTACCTACAGTACATGGTATTTGAAGCATCACATAGCCTGCACTGAACTATCTGTAGAACACTAAGACATGCACAATGTTTTAGGATACTGGATATCATGTGCACAGGGCTGGTGGTTTTGGAGGGCACATGAAGCAGTCAGGACCTCACTGACTATAAATGAGTGTTAAGTCACACTAAATGTTAACTCACTGACTATCTGTAAGTGTTAAGTCAGGGTGGGTTGCTTAGAAATATTTGCAAATGAGCTAATAGGCAAGGCTATATTTGTTTCATGACTGGCCTGCATTTAAATGCCAACTGGGTTTTTCAAATCTCACAAGATATTTTCTAAACCAGAATTATGCCCAGTGGAAAATAGATGCAATTATTGAAAAACCATCATTGAAATTGTTTCCATCCAAGAAACAGCTTTTTCTCTTCTCTCTCTTACCTCTCCATATTGGCTTTGCTGGGCTCCAACATATTGCAGGAAAGTTCCTAGAAATTGTTGGGGAATAGTGAGGAGGGAGGTTCCTGTATCCACCATGGCTTGACATCCCTGGCTACACCAACCTGTTGCCTGTCCATTGATGGAAAACCTAAAATATATCAATACAGACTATTGTTCTTCATGACACAGCAGACTACATTACAAACCAGAATAGAAATTATCATGTTCATTTTAGATCAACTAATTGTTAGGCTAGAAACTACTCACTCATCAATAGCAATCTGCCAGTACAGCTCCTGAGTGACTGGTGCCCAGTTTATCTGTCCGGAATACAGCTGGTTGTCAACACCACCAAAAATGACTGCACCTGATTGACTGAACACAAATGATAAGTCAAAAAACAACTGCTTAGATAAAACAGCTCCATTAGTAACAAATACAAGACAGCTTTACAATACCACAAAGACATACCTGCCCATGTAGACACTGAAAATAGGGTATGTGAGGAGATTTTGTTGCAACATGCCCTGCATTGCAGTAGTGGCACCCCCTGCTGAAAGGGAAGGATAAGCCATTCCAAAAATACCTTCAAAGGCAGAATACACAAAGTTGGTGCCCGGTTCATTGACACTCAGGCCAAGTTCTTGGTTTGTGATGGTGAGGCTTTGCACCTTTGAAACAGAGATAATGTCACTGCTACGGCATTAGTACTGAGGTCTACAATAAGCTAAAAATGCAGAATAAAGCAGAAAGAATAAAGCAGAAACATTGTATATTCAGGGCTTGATTTTAGAGATCTACCTTCACTTTCTTTTTTGTGGACAATACTGACAGAAAGTGAGGAAAAATCTGCAACAGGGACACAGTTGTCAATACAAATCTGACAGGGGTTCCAGCCTTCCCTCCTCTGCTAAAAAAGGCATTTTTCTTTCTGTCTGTGTTGTTGTTGGGGGGGTTTCCTTCATTTCCTGTCTGGTAAACCATTTTCATTGGGATAAAGAATTAGGCTAAATCTCTCTAAAGTAGCCCTGAATAGCAAGCAAAAACTAAGAGGTGTCAAATCTATCCAAAAGGAGGAAAATGTTTTGGCAGGCATACACTAAAACAATATTAAGCTAAAAAAAGCACCTACAAATAGGCTAAAAAAGCTGTTTAAAAGTGGCTAAAACCAACAGAAAGTGGCACGCAAATTTCAACCTAGTTTCTATTGTAAAAGCATTCAAAAAGTCAGCCATCAACCAACAGTTCTGATCTTTGATGGTTACAATAGATGGTTGAAAGGGATTGAAATTGCCGCATAATTGCAGTGTATGTATGGCCAGTATATGTATATACAGTTGGGCAGAATAACTGTTACAGTAGTCAACATCGTCACAGCGTCTCCTATACAAAATGCCATGCCTGTAAGAGAAGGGGCAATATACCCTCCTTTGTGGCAGCCCATGTGTTAAAATGCTTTGCTGCTCCTCAGCCCCGGCATGCATTCTACATTTCCAGGTGTGTATATTACCTACTACCCTACTGCACATAGTGTTTCCTTCTGCTGGCATCACTACAGGATGTACAAGCCAGCAGGAAAAACCATTGTGTGCAGCAGAGGATTGGATTACAGGCATTTAAAGTGATTTGAAGTGAGCTACAAGCTTGCTTCTGTGATAAATTATATCTTTAATAGAAATCAGTAAACTAAGCGTGAGATTGTAGTCCATTACGGGAGCGAGCTTGGAGCCGTAGCTACTTTACAACACACACAGGGGCCATGGGGAACAAAAGTAGCCACTCTCCAGAAGGAAGGACATCGTCAGCACCAATTCAGAGATGATTTGAGGATCTACAGCCGAGTGATACAGAGATAAGCTCCATTTTTGTTAATACTTAGGGTACTTGAATGCATTTTTAGGATTTAACTTCTGAGTTTAGTGTCACTTTAAGATATCTAAAGTGTAAATTACTTGCTGCGGCCAAGGAACAGCAAAGCAGCAGCGTTTCAACACATGGACCACCAAAAAACGAAGTCTATGTATATGCCCATACAGCTTCCACAATTATGATTCATTGATCCTTGCCCAAAGTATGAGAATGACTACATTGTACCCTGACATTGGAAACTTACCAAAGAAAATAGGTTCCCAAGGTTCAAGAAAATGCATTCCACCCAACATTGAATTTTAGTTTCAGATAAACTAACCTTTTTTTTAGCTCTCATCTTTTTATTGTTATATTGTGACCTATAATTTGTGTTATTTATATGTATAATTTTATTAAACCCTAAAAATAATCTGTAATGAAAGAACTGTCGCTGCCACTACACACCCCTCCTTTTAAAAATGCTAATGTGACCTGCAAAGACTTCAGTACTTTCAGGTCACTGCGCTGCATGATATTTCTGCATTTTTTGCTGCACACTTGTTCTGTGTCTGTGTTTCAAAAAGAAATAAGATTTAGCTAGGCAGCTAGAATTTTTAGAAATATATTAACAATGGTAGCCTACATATTTCTGTTACATATAACATGTTTCCTTTAATTGTAGGCAGAGGCCAGTTGTTATCTTTCCTGTGCATTACAGTAATTTGACCCAGTGCAACAGAAGCTTACAGGTAAGTAAAAAATTAAAAATCTTGTATAGCTTGGCTGCCAGGGTACTACAGTCTAAAAATTCCCAGCACCTCTCAGGATTCCAGCACACTGAAGTTCTTTTAATGGTAAACACGTATTCTCTTTTTTCATTTTAAAGGAGTTTTCTGCTTTCAAAAAAAAAGAATGGACTCTTCATGGATTGCTTCTCTGCTCAGACTTCTGATACGGTGTTTAAAAAAAAAGCCATTGTAGCACTTAAAGCTGCTTGACATTTTTCAGCATGAAATATATTTGGCTTAGTAATCCAAAGCAAGCTGTCAGGGTGAACAAGGCTGAACATGTAACAGCACTGCAGCATCCTCTAGACTGCCTTTTTAAAATCTAAACTAAAGCAAGGAAACCCACTCTCTTGTTGATAGTGGAAATGCCTTTAAAAGGAAACTATAATGGTTTTTGGTCAATTTAATGTTTTTTTTATAAACTGACCTTTTGAGATCATTATTTTCATTACTTTAATTACTTGTATATAATTATGCACAAATTAAAAATAAATGAAGTGTGCTTCTATTACACCATAATAGCAACAGCGTACTGAGTTTTTTGGCAACCCGACTAAAACTCAGAAAAGAAAAAGGAGGAGATACTGTATGTCCCTCCTCTGATGTCTGTGTTGTTACCTTATCTGAATAGCTGAGTAATATGAATCAGGACTAATAATATTTTCTAAAAATATTGTGGTACATAACAAACCATTTTGAACTAATTATCATTCATCCACTACTTAGTTTTAGCCAATATAAATAGGAGTTAGATATGGATAAGAGCTTAGGTAAGAATTGTTTATCCTGCTTTAAAGTTCCACTTACTGTCACAGTGTCATAGCCAAAGACACCAGTGAGACTCCCACTGCCATATTGCATAGAAAACTGCTGGTTATTGGAAGTGTATGTAGAGGACTGGCTTGGGTTGAACAGTGGGTGGTTCTCTAAGGGGTCAAGCAGACAAATTACATGAGCAACAGTAACACGTTAGATGCTTCTACAATGCTTTAAAAATGTACTTTGATTCATACATCTCTCAAAGCCACTCTTTTTTGTGATTAACTATGTTCATCAAATGCATTCAACAAAATGATGGTGCTTTCTGTAAATGTATGGTGTATATACAGTATATTTAAATGTCCTATTATCAATTAAATGTTAATAAGAATTTTCCTGGCAGGGTAAAGGGTCAATTTTTTTTGCAGTCTCACAGGCCCTACTGACAAGTTTCTATAAGATAAACATGGAAATAAGTTTTCTTAACATGTCACCATTTTTGGTGTGATCACCTTATTGTAAGTAATAATTTGTTTTATGTTGAATAGATGAGTAAATAATGTTTTTAATGTTTGCTCAGTGTAATAGTGCAGATAAACGATTCACACCTGGATTTTTACAGTGAAAAATAAAAAAAACATCAGTACAGTGGAAAGATAACATAAGGGATGCACAGTGGTGACCTGTTATAGCAAGCATTACAACACTGGTCATTGCCCAAACTGGTCACTGGATTTGAAACTGAGTAACTGTCACCACTTCTACAAGAAACTTCCCCCCCGGGTGTGTCAATATTGTAAACTGACTTTTCTTGAGCAGGGTGGTGCCGATAGGCCCACCCATGGCTGAAATTTCATCCAATTTAATCCTGTATGGCTAGCTTAATATACCAGTTTGTACCAATGGTCATACTTACGACAGGCTTGACTCTGGCAATAGGTTGAAGCAACCCAAAGATTGGATGACCCAGTGTCAAAAAGTACCATGAAGTTCTGTGGAGGTGTTCCAACACTAATCTGTCCATAATAGCAGGCCTGAAATGCAAAAAAAAGTGACATCAGCTATAAAAAAAATTCTAAATGTATGTTCTTTATGATCCCTTTAACAAAATTCATATTAACTGCTTGGATGGACTCTTATCTGATGTTCTTCACTGAAAAAAGTAGAAAGGAAGTTTGTTATTCCAGAAGATTTTATAGTTAGTGAATATAATCCCACCAGATTATGAGATCACTGGAACACATTTTAATCAATAATACGTATGGCTGTCCAATAAGGAAATATTTTTTTGCATTTTATTAAGAAGGATAGCTTATAAAAAGGCCTTTGTAACTATAAGGTAGATGAGGGAAGCAATTCCGAACAGCACAGAAACATTGAACATAAACAAGAGACATACAACATAAATTTACATTACATGCGCCAACCTAAATGCTGTTTGTACAACCTCAACTAAATTTATACAGAAATAAATGCACAATTACATTACAATTACAAATTAACTGCATGTTAACCCTAACAATTGACTTCTATTATTTGCTACCATTTGGTCTGTTAAATATATTGTTGAAAGTGTTTTGTTATATTGATAAGTGTAAGATAATACCTTAATACCTGTCAGAAATTCCGAGCTGTCCTGTGCACGCTTCCTGTGTCATCTCAAGGAGTCTTGAGAAGAGTAGACTATAGAAAAGACAGGGCTGGCACAAATATGATTGTGTTGTCAGCCCACAACAGGACTTAGGAGCTGTGTTCATTTCTGGCAGATCAACAGGTATTTTTCTGTATTTGCAAGGTCTTTTTCGATGAAAGCAGAGCTGGCATCCATTTGCTGATCTCCCCTGGGTAGTTTGAACCTAGAAATGCTCAGCTCTGAAGAGGTGGCAATAGAAGGGAAGAGGTGGCAATAGTGGTCCAATATGCCTCTGATGTCTCCTTAAGGAAAACCTGCCACCTGATCTATTCTGTCACTTAGGATGTATGTTATCCCCATTGTGATTGAAATAAAATAAAATAAAAACATGTTTAAATTAAAGTTTAATAAAATAAATGAAAAACACTCCAACAAAAGGTTTTCAAATCTGCCTGCCCCCACGTTTACACACAAATGTATGCAAAATATAGGTATAGCCTGCACTCGCCAGAGTCACAGCAATAATTCTAGGGCCATCATTCACTATTAACTCTAGTGGCTCTAATTTGTAAGCTGTAAATGCTTTTATGAATATTTTGAGTACTGTAGTTTTTTTGCCATTGCACAGGCATGCTTAATTTTGAAACTTGACATATTTAGTTTAGATTTACTTAATGCAACCTCATCTTTTATAGTCTACCAAACTGGGATATTATGTTTGTGTTTGTGTGCACTAAATGAATTCAAGTGTATTATTTATTGATAAACAATAGCAAACAGTAGCAGAAATATTGTGTGGCATAAAAATTCTACAGGGTCTCTGCTTTCAGAAAATATATATTGTTTGGGTGGATTAAGTAATCTTCAGTCTAAAATGTGCATTTTACATGTGCGCAAACAAATAAAAAAAAAATGGCTCTGGCAGTGAAAGGGTTTAAGGGATAAAACATGGGAAACATTGCATGTATTGCAGAGATGTACTGCATATTTTTTATTTTATTTTTTTCTGTGACATACACTTTAAGTATTGTTTGTACATCTTCAACTCCTTCTATGCACTTTTTCACCATAACACTAAAGCTTGGTGTGGTGATTTTTCTCTCACATAAAGTTGCACTTAATACATTACTTTTTTCATTAAATCCGTGTGTGATGTTTAGCTTTTTTGAATGTAGAGAATTTTTTTTAAATAGAAATTATTTTTGCACATGATTGCATGTTGGAAATGGATTAAGATTTTCTGAGTTGCTAAAAAGAATACTTTTTAATAAATCAACCCCAGAAAATCTACCATGTTTCGTTGGAACATTTTCTCTAAGCTCGGCAACAAAAAACAACTATCTTTAATGGTCTTGGTCTTTGTGTGTGCCGCACTCACTTCAGGAGAGTCAAAATACTACATATTGATGTGCACATGCTTGTGCATTTTGTATGGTAGTTTTCAAGATCTAAAACGATTATGCTCACAAACCTACAAACTGGTTACTACAAGCGGAAGCTGATCACTGTACGAGGAAGGGAGTGGTTTGTGCATGTGGTGTTTTTGCCTTTTCTTAAATATTTCTGTTTAAATAAAATGTTAATTTAACATACTATTTATGAATTTATTATAGAATATATAGGTGTAAAATGGGCTTATATTGGGTGAATTTTGAGATTGAGTGATAAATAAGAGTACATTAAAGCACTTTTCCCATTGGACAACAGATGTGGTTGAATATAGGTGAATGTTGTTTAATTCTATTTTCACCATAGGATAAAAAGAATTCATTTGCAAAAATTAATTATGGCCAAAAATTGGGAGAATGTCAAGTCAAATCAACAGTAAATATGTCACTAAACGTATGGGGTTTTTATACTTACATCCATGTTCATAGGCTCATAGACCACAGCAAAATCAAGCTTGTGGTTGTAGCTGTATTTCATGGCAGGATCCCTCTTGTGTGTTTTCATAAATTCTTCCAGGACACCTTTCTCCTTCATTGTCTCCCTTATGGATTTGAATCTCTGCAGAGGGACTCTGTAACAACATTATGATCATCTTATGAAAATCACATGAAGATGTTCAAAATAAAACATTTCTACTACTATGATGCTCAAGTCTTATAGTGCTTTAACGGGATTTCATTTAAATTTAGTATTAACTGAAGAAGATTAATATAAAGTAGAACCATTAAGAAAAGAGTAAATATGTTAACACTGTTTTCAGCTTGAATCTGTTATTAATAAATTCAGAGCAATTTGAAGCAGATCCAAATGTATGCAGGTTGGCTCTTCCATCTCTAGTCACTAAAAAAGATAGTCAAGAAACATGTTTGCCGTGTAGTGAGTGCTCAGTTCATAAACAATCCTTATAAGGGTCATACATAAGGGTTACATATATACTGTAAGTTCACTACTGCACTAATATTTAGTATTAGTTTGAAACCCTTGGTGGTTTATGATTGATCTTCCTAGATAAAGTGTGTGAACAGCCTTAAGAGAGAATGCTTCTGTTGTTGTCACCAGTTATGATGCAAGTGTAATGCCTAAATGAGGAAGCTTACAAAATGTTGTGATGATTTCTGAAGATACCTTCCAGTAATCCAGTTTATACTTTTTTTTTATACTTTTGATAAGCCCTTAGCCTACTGATGCCCTGTGCCTTGTTGGAGGAGGCTGTTAGAAAACCTAACAATACTAATAATGTTGATAGGGTATTATTCATATAGGGATTATGTATGAATGTGAAGGACATAAGTGATGGTTGATTTTCTATATATTCATTTGTTCAGTATGGGAATGTACACATGCAGATTTATAAAGGCCATGGTTTTGGTTAAGTCTAGAAAGATGTAATACTATATGTTTAAAAGAGAATTATGGGGTGAGTGTTTTTCCCCATAGTTCTCTTTAGGGTCGCAGGAGGACATATACAAACCTCCTTAGAAACAGAGATATAGATGTAAGCATGTTTGTTAATAACAATATGTATAATCTGTTAACCTAAGTTTCGAGAAAAAAACATCCTGCAAATTGTTGCAGCAAGTGTTTTTACAGGTAGAGCAAACAACCTACTCCTTTTTGGCTCAATAACCTTGATACTGATGGCACAAATAATGTTTATAATGTCCTCTTAATTATTTACAGGACGGTCACATTTTTCAAGTTATGGGCTTGACTTCCATGTATTTGCACTTCCCTTCTAGAATATGTAATTCAGATGTTGGCAGCATGTTAAAATAGGTTTTCTTGGAAATGCAAGAAGGCAGAGAAGAACAGGCAAAGTAAGAAAACAGTCTGAGAGAAAAAAAAATAATGGGGCTTATGATCACCTTATTCAAATATATAATAATAATCCCTATAGAGAATGGAGTGGAAAATTGTGCACTGTAAAGTCAACTTGTACTCCAGTTTTAGGTTTTTAAAGTAAACATCAACTTAAACAGCATGCACTATACATTATTACATTTATAAGCCAGAAAAGTGTCTTCTGTGTCCCCCTTCTAACTGTTTTGAGCTCTTTCACTTTGTTACTGGGGCTTCACTTTTCCTGACTAATGTCTAATGTCATTCCACTGTGCAATGACCTGGCTAATTTCATTCAACTGACCAAAGACTTATCAGTAAGGGCACTTTCATTGGATAAGTGGGTGACATCTAGTGGAGCTTAGCTATGAAGCCAAGTGAAATAAGGACCCAGTAACAAAGTTTGCACCATACACACTGCAGGACATTGCAGATAATACTCTGTATGTTGGAATATTATTATTTCCAGGTCATGTGTCAGGGTAGCTTCTCATAGAAAAGCAATGTTTTGGCAACGGTTAGTCTATAACACTGCTTATTACAGAATCTTTTCTGGCCAATAATGGTGATAGCAGCCATGGTAAAAAGTGTGTGCTGTAACACAGCATTAATACTTGATATCCTGATTATATAT